GTCTCGAACCCGCGGGCTCAGGCAATCCACTCACCTCAGCCTCCCAAAGGCGCGGGATTACAGGCTGAGCACTGAGCCCGGTTTGTGGAGATTTTTAAAGGCTGCCCCAGAAAACAGACACAGCAACCAATCCTGTGAAATCCAGTACCGTGAAGACCCCAGACCTTTGCTACTCTGAGTATCCACGGGCCAGCAGCACCAGCACCACCCGCCTAGGCAGCGAGACCTCATCTCTACAATAAATAAAAAAATCAGCTGGGTGAGGTAGCACATGCCTGTAATTCCGGCTACTGGGAAGGCTGAGGCGGAAGGATCACCGGAGCCCAGCAGGTAGAGGCTGCAGTGGCCGGAAGCGGCCAAGGCACTCCAGTCCGGGCGACAGAGTGAGACTCCAACTCAAAAAAAAAAAAAAAAGTGAAGGCTTGGAAACAGGGCAGAGGCAGGATCAAACTCCAGTACTGAACCTGAGAGCCAAGGATAGCAGCTGTTCCCCAAATTCATTCCACCCTCTTCCTTTTCATCATATGACCATCCCGGCCAGGAGCAGTGGCTCATGCCTATAATCCCAGCATTTTTGGAGGCAGAGATGGGAGGATTGCTTGAGCCCAGGAATTCGTGGCCAGCCTGGGCAGCAGAGCGAGACCCCATCTCTATCAAAAAAAAAAAAAAGAAAGAAAATTATCCAGGCATGGTGGCACATGCCTGTAGTCCCAGCTACTCAGAAGGCTGAGGTGGAAGGATCGCCTGAGCCCAGGAAGTCGAGGCTGCGTTGAGCCATGATTGTGCTGCAGCTCTCCAGCCCGGGCAAGCAAGTGAGACCCCAACTCAAGAAACGAAATATAGTTATATCGAAATATAGTTATATGGAAGAAATAAGATCTAGTGTTCAGTAGCTCAATAGAACCACTATAGTTAAAAATAATTTATTGTAATATTTCAAAATAACAAGGTGGAAATGGAAAGTTCCAACACAAAGAAATGGCAGCAGAGTCGGAGATGAGGAATATCCCAATTACCCTGGCTTGATTGTCACACATTGTATGCTTGTATCAAAATATCCCATAGAACCCCATCAATGTGTACAACTAAAATGTATGTGTAGCCGGGCTCAGTGGCTCAGCCTGTAATCCCACGCCTTTGGGAGGCTGAGGTGAGTGGATTGCCTGAGGATGTGGGTTCGAGACCCATCTGGGCAGCGAGACCTCATCTCTACAATAAATCAAAAAATTAGCCAGGCTTGGTAGCGCATGCCTGTAATTCCAGCTACTCGGAAGGCTGAGGTGGAAGGATCGCC